TGTTAACATATGGGAGCATCTTCAAGGTGCTAGCCACCCCCAGGGTTGGTTGCCCCTTTTTGTGCCCCATGCCAGTTGGCAGAGCCAGGTCTTGACTGCGTTCTGGAAGGACAAGAGAGTTGGAGCCTGCCTCACCTCTAGGGGGGAGAGTATTCCATAGGGCGGGGGCCACAACAGAGAAGGCTCTCTTTCTGGACCCTGCCAGTCGACATTCTTTCATCGACAGGGTCCGCAGCATACCCTCTCTGCCTGTCCGGGTGGAATGGGGGGATATAATGGGGGTGCGATGGTCCCTCAGGTAACCCGGTCCCATGCCATGTAGGGCTTTAAAGGTGATAACCAACACCTTGAATTGGACCCGGAAGCAAACTGGGACTCAATGCAGCTCATGTAGCAACGGTGTAACATGTGCCATCCTTGGGGCATCTAAAACTGCCCATGCAGCTGCATTTTGAACCAGATGAAGCTTCCGGATACTTTTCAAGGGTAGCCCCATGTAGAATGCATTGCAATAGTCTATACGGGAGATGACTAGGGCCTGAGTGACTGACCAAAGGGACTCCTGATCCAGAAAAGGGCATAACTGATGCACAACATGTAGTTGAGCAAAGGCCCTCCTGGCCACGACTGCCACCTGCTCTTTGAGCAGGAGTCATGAGTCCAGGAGGACCCCAGGTTACACACCGAGTCTGTCTGGGGTAGTGTGACCCCATCCAGAACCAAAGATGGTAAACTTCCAGATACAGAAGAGCCCCCAACCCACAGCCACTCCATCTTACCAGGGTTCAGCTGAAGCCTGTTGTTCCCAATCCAGACCCCCACAGCCTCCACGCACCATGAAAGGATAGCCACAGCATCACTCAAATCACCTGGGATGGAGATATAAAACTGGGTATCATTTGCATATCGATGATACCTCATCCCATGGTGGCAGATGATCTCACCCAGCGGTTTCATATAGATGTTAAAAAGGAGCGGGGAAAATACTGAACCCTGCAGCACCCCACAAAGGAGGGACTGTGGGCTGGACCTCTCGCTCCCTATCAGCACCGACTGGGATCGGTCTTGGAGGAAGTAGGTGAACCAGCGCAAAACTGTGCCACCCACCCCCAACTCCCCAAGCCGACCCAAAAGAATACCATGGTCGATGGTATTGATAGCCACTGAGAGGTCAAGAAGAACAAGGATGGATGCACTACCCCTAGCCTGCT